GATTTTCAGTAAATGGTGTTTCTGTTTGACAAAAACAAATAGTTGTTTTAAATTCTCCAAGGCGTCCTGATTTTAACTAATATAAATTCTTGAAATTTTAATTTCTCGAAATTTGATAAAATTAAGTATGTGGGGGTAATAGTTGATAAAAAAAATTACCAAGATTTTCTAAACACATTTCAAAAATAATTTCATTCATTTGTGAACAAGTCCTGAAAATTTCACTAAAATCTGACAATTATTTGATTTTCGCAACAATGCGTTTTTCATAGTAAAAAGATGCTAATTTTTTCATTTGCTCCACCCACTGACGCAAAAAAACAAGATTTTTAAGCATAATTTCGAACGTGTCAGAAAGGATTTAAAAAGTTTAATAAAATCATAAGATACTTTGGTATAATAACATAAACATTTTGACGAAAAATGGGGTATTTTTTCAACGAAAAAGTGAAGTTACCCATTCTAAAGTCTACTTCATCACTGTACTACTAACCTCTCCATCTAAAGTCTGGAATTTTAGGTACTATTTATATTTTTCCTCAATAGTAGATAGATTCACCTATCGTCCGGTTAAAATGTAACTATAGACTCAAGCGTAAACACGACAAATGTTTGCCGATTGTCTCAGGTATAAACGCTTATAGACTCAAGTATAAATACAGCAAATATCTGCCTATGTCCTCGACTGTAAACTCATGAAAATAACATCTATAGACTCAAGTACAAACACGACAAACATCTGCTCAGAGACTCAAGTATAAATACCAATGTTCTTACCCACACTCAAAAAAAAAAAAAAAAAAAAGAAAAAAACAGATTTTAGCATTAAATAATCCAACTGGGGCAGATATACCATAATATCTAACAAACAAGCAACATTTTTAGATGTAAAATTAAATGTTAATTCAATTTATAATATACGTGCAGTATAAATGAATATCAAACTCATGTATTTTGTTACACGGATGTTATTACCACAAGCATTACGTCATAATTTCTTCTTTAAGAAAAGCAGTTACATGACATGCATCTGACTTGGTGTTGGAGAAACGAGAGACAGAAATAAAGAATAAAATCTTAAGTTTGGCGTCAAATGTCGATCAAATGTGGATCGAAATCTGACAGAAGGATAAGATAAAGAATAAATAAAGTGTATACAGTCTTTCTCATAGGTTTTTTTAATAGATGTCTGTAATGAGTGTCCAGATAATTTAGTTAGAAAAATACATGAAGTGTTTGGGATTTTCTTATCTCGATTTTTTATTGAGTGCTAAAAGATAAATGTTACTATTATGGTTTGAAAAAGAAAAAAAGGAGATGTAATTTTCGTTGATGCACGTGGTAACGACCTGCCCGTGTAAACTGCATGTCTGATAGTGAGAATTTCACGTGTTTGTGCGTGTAGAAGAAGAAGAAGAAGAAGAAGAAGAAGAAGAAGAAGAAGAAGAACAACAACAACAACAACAACAACAACAACAAGGGGGAAGAAAAGAAAAGCAAAGGTATTATAAATGTATCGGCGGGAAATTAATTGAAATGTACATTTTTTTTTAAAATCCAGCCTCATTTGTGCTTAAGAGGATTTTTTTAATATATGTGTAAGAAGTCAAGACTTCGGATTTCTGGTTCAATAGGTTATTTGGACCCCGAAATGTCACTGGAAATGTCTATTATATTCAGTAACCTCTTGCGGCTTAGTGGCTTTATTGCTTTGCTTGGGGTGAAATGATTAAAAAATAATATTACCATAATTTTTTTATTAGATAAAGCATTGTCAACCATTATTAATTATTGTCAAGGATTTCTTTCATCTTAATTTCACTTGTTTTTCATTTGGTAGTTTTAGTAATAATATCATCTTATAATTTTATGATTAGATGAAGCATTGTCAGCCATTATTAATTTTTGACTAGAATCACGCATGTATTTTTTATCGAAATAATAATGATTTTTATGCTTAATTTAGTAACTGTTGTGGATTCAGGGGATGGAATCCGGCACAAATAAATAAACACGCCAGTAATTGAAATAGGAAAATATTTGTATTAAACGTAAGAATACAAAGTGAAATGAAAATTAGTAGTCCAGGAATGCGGGTTAGTAGAAAAGTATATTTACAAGTCTTTGTAATGGAAGCCGTAATTATCTCTCTTTTCGGACTCTCGTAACTCTGTGTGAACACCCGGTGTCGACCTTTTTTGTCACGCTATCTCTTCGTAGTATAAGTATCCTTTGGACGAGTCCATCTTGTGTACGAGGGGCGAGCCCCACAATAGTAACAATACAAGTCACGATAATATTAGTACATTTAATAGCGGCAAACAACAGAAATTATTGACTGTAGCAACGCAAACAACAGAACAGTTGTTTTACGTTTTTTTTTAAGGTAAATGGGGTTCGTGCTTGAGTTCGCTTGGCGCATTTTAGACATGACCTGAATATTTGCAATAAAAATAACTCAATTTAACTTGGAAGAATACTAAAGTTAATAATGTTAAACACAAATTTCATAGCTGATGTTATTTTATTATTTTTGCTCTCTCTTCCCCCCTCTCTCTCTCCCTATGTTATATCCCTTCTAGGCATAACGATCATGTCTCTCCACTGTTTCCTGCCTTTTGTTATCAAAATTTACCGTATGTACCTCTGTCTTTCATTTCAAACAATACCCTTATCTTTTCCATCATCTGAAAAGCACGAGAAGATAAAAACAATTTCTACGTAACATGATAACTAAATTTCAAATGACAAAAAAGAAGACTATTTTACATGCCTTTACACTCGCCGACACCGCCATCAACCTTCTTCGTTTGCGATTCGTGAGAACAATCACGATTTTTACTGTCACGTACACATTATCCATTACTACAGAAAAAGGCATTTTTAACGAAATTGTTAACAGCAGGGGAATCACTAACATCGCCGCCATATTGATTTTGTTTCTTAGAAAGAAAACGAAAAGAAAAAATACAAAACAAGAAACATTGACTATAGACCCTTCCTGACAGCCATTATACGAACGTACTGAATTAACTATGCTGTGTGTATTGAAGTTTATTTTTATCACCATTCTAAACGAGATTTTCTTTCTTTTCTTTACGGTTTACGTTTATTGTTAAACCCTAATTATTGGAACGTATAATGTGATGCTTGCTGGATGTGCGACAACAATAAAATAATTATCATTTACTTTAACAAATATTGGGATTGTGTTCGAAGTTTTCGGGCAGATGTTTTGTTTTTTTAGGGACATTTTTTTATTTTTGTTGCTTTTTTTAGATGTTTTCCTTTGTTTGTTACACAAAAATATTTTTAAAAAATGGTGAATTCTTTGTATTTTAAAAGAATATTCATTGTGACACTTTGAAGTCTTTTTTTTTTACTTGATGTTACTAGTTTTTGTCTGATGAACTAGTATAATTACTTGTTGGTTCATTTCGACTGGCATTTGTATTTTGGGCTTTTTTAAAAAAACTAACCCAGCCATCATTGGGTTTAGAGTAAATATAGTATTACCCCGTATCCCCAGATGAAAAGTTCCAGGATCTCAGCATATGTCCAGAACTGTTGATATTATCATAGCTAACCCCAAATTTGATGTTTGGCCGTTGAAATTGTTGTAGCATACATACGGACGATAATGGCTATGTCCCCATTCAAATAAATACAGTAGTAAATACTGTATGTTGGTCTGCAGTTGGAGATTCATTGTGGAATTCACTTGACTCACTTCTAGCAGTTGACTTCTTCTTTGACATACCTCTGCCGAATCTTATATGTGTTGTTCTTGTCCCAAGTATTATCATTCATTACCAACCTTTGTTTGATTATTCAGTAACCGTCCCTAGGTTACTAAAGAAATACTGATTTTGGGAAGTGGATCTGGTTAAGAATTATTCGGGTCCCCGATCGCTCATGTGTCCCTAAAGTGGTTGTATTCAACACTTAGAAATCACTGAAATTATCTGGAGCGGGAGGGCGTCAATAAATGCGTGGGTGGTTGTAAAAGGAGTCAATAAATAGATTATGGTGTTTTATGACTAAAACTCAACAATTGCTACTGTTGTCAAATGAATCCTTACCATTAACGATGCCAACCAATTTGATAATTAAGAATATTCATTTACTTTTAATTGTTTTATTATTGCCTATGTTATTTATAAAGTTTTTTTCATCAACATCTTCACCCTCCTCCTCCTCCGCCTCCTCCTCCTCATCATCATCATCTCTTCTTCAGCGTTGGTTTTAATTTTAACCAGAGATCTTGCATTCTGGTTGATCATCAAGTCGCCTTACCACAAACAGATGGCAGATTCTCACAGAAATATTTACAAGCAATGCAAATTTCGGAAGCGACGTGATAATAAGCTTTATTCGGTTTTCTGAATGTAGGTCTTTAGGTTCGGTGGTACACACCCCAACGCCAACTGAGACAATAGTGGCCTGAGCGTCCCACATTCTAGCAACATTAATCCGGAAATCAGTGTCCATTTTAAGCTTTTCAATTTCTTTGGCCTTGATATTAGCGTCACCAAAAAATCACATCGACGGCTTTTTGGTTTCATTTTTTTTCTTTCAACGACGCTGATGTCTACTTTTATGGCAGCAAGGATACAGTTTGTTTCGATGTTGAAATCCCATAAAATCTTGACTTGGTAGTTTTCGATAACCCTCCCCCCGGATTTATGGCGGTGCCATTTCTCTTTGACCTCAATTTCATATTTCCTACGTAGGAACCAACACAGATTGGGTGAAGGCAGCTTATCATGGCGTCGCTTGTATTCTTTCTTCTACAAGAGCTAATGATGTGGGTGACATTTTCCACCTCCAAGCCACACACTATTCCCTCGTTGGTAAATGTTATTCCGTACAGAATTCGTATTTAAAGTTTTGGTCTCTGACCGATACCACTAGAGTCTTTAAGTCATAAGTTTTAGTCCATCTTTCGTCAACCCGATTTCACAAATCTTAATGGCTTTGGTGTCCTTCTCAAAGTATCCATGAAGCGACCATTGCCTCTTTTGCTTTTATCTTCTCTTTCAATTATCTCTTCCTATGTTTGTTCTCGATACTTTCTTTTACAAGGTTTTGAATTTCTCCACATACTACACTTTTTACTATGGACCAGTTCTCTGGCGCCTTTTGCCACAGGCTTTGCTGAATGTGACACTTGGTCCGTATCCGTTGCTTCATGTCCGGAGAGCTCGCTCTGCACAAATCCTGGGCCCTCACGTTGTGTTTAAATATCAAAAACAATATCGATGAAGAACTGTTGAAGGTCAGACTTGATTCCTCTCCGTTCTGGATATGATTGCGAAAGACTGAAGTCACCTGTAAACATAATAAACTTCAACAACACTTATTAATAAATGTAAAAATGATAACTTTTATTTATGGTACTATGATTGATTAAATAAAATAGCTGGCCACTTATATTCGAGAATACCCGACTACTAGAGCGGCTAGCCAATCCTTATTGCAGAAGCTCGCTCAGGCACATTTGTGTTTTCTCAACATCCAGAGCCCACCTTCTAGCGTGATCAACAATTTGAACAAGGCCAGCATGCTCAAGCCCTCGGATACAATGACTTGCACAGTTATCGACGGCCTACAAGAGTTCCGTCTACCCAATTTCACTCACGTGGTATGTTTTTCAGGCACTTTCCAAAGGTGCCGCACGATGGGATCGACCTCGATCCAGTCCGATAACACCAGGAAGTCGTCTTTATGACAAATCGACCATGGTGAGATTCGAACCCGGGTCTCATGGTCAGGAAGCAAAGATCCTGAATACATAAACAAAAAAGGAATTAAAGAAGTTTCCCCCGTATAAGGAATTCTTGAGTTGGGAGGAAGACGTTAGCTGACCGATGCAGTTATGGATAAACAGATTAGAGTCGTTGAACTATTTAAATAAAGACAACTGATCTAGGGAGTTCAAAAAGCGGCATAGCGAACAGGTCTTTAGCTGATTGAGGCCCTACGGTCATCCAGAAGAGAGAGGGTTGGTCTACTAGTGGCGAGATCAGTTCGATCTTACCTCACTGCTCTTTCTCTGACTGCAAACCCCAATTGCACTGCTCTGATTGGCTAGCTAATAATAATGCTTGACCAATGGTTTTGTGTTATCCTTATCGAAGGGGAGGAAGGAAAGTCCCGAGAACCTAATATGATTGGTAGAGCAATCAAAATAATGCTCCTATGACGTAAGTATCGGAGTGGGGGACGAGAAACTCCACCCAACTCCTTCATTCATTGACGAACCAATCAAAATTGTGGACTTGTATCGTTCATCTTCAATGGAACATTTTGTATGTTCCGGAATCTCACCCACATTTGACCTGATTGTCATTGTCACCTTTATTTGACAATGTGTCATATCCCTGATCAAAACAAACCTGACCTGTAAAGATTTATATTGTGTCATTCATTTCAAATAATAAGTCCTAATTATTATCTTAATAATAAAAACAACCGTCAAGTTCAACAAATCTAAGACTGTACCTAAGGTACATTCCTACCCTAGGCTCACAATTTCACCTCTCACACTATACTGCAAAAGTGACACAAACCTGAAAATTCATGATATCGCATTGTTTTAACATGAAAAATATTTTCCTTCCTTAGAAATAAAAATTAGAACGCCAATCAAACTTTGACATCAGTCATGATGTTATGCCTTACCTTTCTTGTTTAATAATTAGATAAACAATAAAACATTGCTTCAATTTAAAGAGTCACGTACAAGAATTAATCAATGTTTTGTTCTCAAAGACAAAAATCATTAATATTTTCTTTTTCACAATTTTTCAAAAGTTTATTTGCTTCCAATTGACGCTTTTTTTTCAATATTGCTTTAAAGAAAATTTGAATCCATTGTTTTGGATTTGGTAAAATTTCTTTTGCCTTTGACCTCTCACTTCTGCATAATTGGACAAATATAAATTCTTCTTAAATGAATACCTTTTTTTCTTTTTCCTTTTTTAATTAAAAATGTTTTTTTGTTTGATTTTTTTAAAATCCAATTTTTTACATTACAATTCTGACATATTTTCTTTTAAATTCAGAAAATCAAAATTTAAACATAATTACTTTTTCATTTGAATTTGTTTAAAGAAATTCTTAAAAAGTTCAAAATCAAAGCTGTATTTCCACTTGTTGATAATTGTGTGTACTTGGGATCTCCTGCTATTTATGTACAATTTTGTCGGCTTGTTTCTTTTTTTTTTTCAACCAACCGCGTATGAACACAATTGGACCCTAGAATTACTGATAAGATGATTAAAATTAACCTAATCCCAATATTATCCACGTAAGGGAATTTGATGGTGGATTATTTTGAGATTAAATTCCGTTAGTCATTGTTTCTAATTTACTTATTAATTCTTTTATATTTAAACTTATTATATATATATATATATATATATATATATATATATATATATATATATATATATATATTTATTTATTTATTTATTTATTTTATGATATTTTCATGAAATGAGGAAGAGTTTCATTATTAATGGTTCTTGAGAATTCAGTTCGCTTTATTAACTGAGATTAATCAAGGCCAAGAAAATATTTATCTCAAATTCTTTTTCCATCTGTTGTGAGTTTGCATAAGCCGTACAACCCATAGAAAGGTCGACAGTGTCAGTGGAGAAGTTATCCTAACTGTTGATGATTTTTTCGCTACATCCCTTGGGTCATTGTAGATTTATATATATATATATATATATATATATATATATATATATATATATATATATATATATATATATATATACATACAGGCTGCTCTACAATAAACACAGGAAATTTGGTACGGTTTATTTAATTTGAATTTTTCTTACAACTATTTGAAATAAAGGATAGAAATTTCGTAGCTTAAAACAGAACAAAAACACCAATGTGGCGTTCAAACGAAAGAACTCTGGCAAACTTTCTTACTATTTTTTCAGTCCCCCAAGTTCAATGTTCTTTCTTAAAGTTAATAATTGGACAATTGCTACTTTCATAACAAGGTTTCTTTTTAGCTTTGTTTTTGTTGTTGTTGTTTTGTTGTTGTTGTTGTTGTTCTTCTTCTTCTTCTTCTTATTATTATTATTATTATTATTATTATTATTTCCTTTGATTTCTGTTGTATACACCTTCCTTCCAGGCTCCAACCAGTGACCTAAGGTCAGAAATGGGATCATGACATTTTCGACTATTATTATTATTATTATTATTATTATTATTATTATTATTATTATTTCCTTTGATTTCTGGTGTGTACTCATTTCTTTCTGAGTCCTGACCAGAGACCAAAGGTTAGAAATGGCATCATGACATTTTCGACTATTATTATTATTATTATTATTATAACATTTCGATTTCTGCTATAGTCTCATTACCTACCAGGTCTACGGGAAGACTTAAGGCAAGTAGTGGTGTTTTGACATGGTTACATTTCATGATTTCTTTTCAAACTCCCATAACATCACCAGCGTTACATGGACAAAGTTCTTCTTAGACCGCGGGCTGTACTTATCAAGACAATTTTTGTATTTCTTGGGATTTCAGGGATTTTTTCATCGAGTTGTTATGTTCCTTTTTATCATTCCAAGTGCACCTATAATGATTGGTATTATCCTTATTTTCAGTTACCACATTTGTTTCTATTTTGATTTCCACGTCTTGATATTTTGATAGTTTTCAAATTCCTTGGTTGCTTTGATTTCTGGTGTGTACTCATTTCTTTCTGAGTCCTGACCAGAGACCAAAGGTTAGAAATGGCATCATGACATTTTCGACTATTATTATTATTATTATTATTATAACATTTCGATTTCTGCTATAGTCTCATTACCTACCAGGTCTACGGGAAGACTTAAGGCAAGTAGTGGTGTTTTGACATGGTTACATTTCATGATTTCTTTTTCAAACTCCCATAACATCACCAGCGTTACATGGACAAAGTTCTTCTTAGACCGCGGGCTGTACTTATCAAGACAATTTTTGTATTTCTCTTAAGCTGGGATTTCCAGGGATTTTTTCATCGAGTTGTTATGTTCCTTTTTTATCATTCCAAGTGCACCTATAATGATTGGTATTATCCTTATTTTCAGTTACCACATTTGTTTCTATTTTGATTTCCACGTCTTGATATTTTGATAGTTTTCAAATTCCTTGGTTGCTTTGATTTCTGGTGTGTACTCATTTCTTTCTGAGTCCTGACCAGAGACCAAAGGTTAGAAATGGCATCATGACATTTTCGACTATTATTATTATTATTATAACATTTCGATTTCTGCTATAGTCTCATTACCTACCAGGTCTACGGGAAGACTTAAGGCAAGTCATATCAATTAGTAGGCAAGATTTATTTCTTTTTGGTTTTTGACAGTTATGTCCGGCCTATTTGCTTCAATCTTCCAGTCTGCGAAGATGGTGTAATCCCATAGAATTATGATGTTTTCTGTTTTTGTAACCGGTGCTGGGTGATGTTCATACCAGTGTTTATTAACATCTTTTCCAAACTATTGGCACATTGTCCAGTGTAAATATTGCCCCACTCCATAGTGACGATTTTATATTCATTTGGTGCAAGTACAGAACATCCTGAGAGTAGAGGGTCTATGATTTCCTGATATTTGTCACAGAACCTGCATTTTGCATCCATACTATTACATATGACATTTGCCTAAAGTTTCTAGTGAAAAGATTTTGGACATGTACTGCAAGAATAAAGTCTTCCGTTTCAGCTTTTAATCCAGATGCTCATAAGAATCGATGAGTGTTTACTTTATCAACATCGGCTTTATTAGCCTCGTTCTGGATATTGGCCATGCAGAGGTTTGTCTTCCTAGCATTATTCCGTTTGTTCAAGAGCTTTATCCTTGGCTTTCTTTTTCCATATTTTTGTTGCAACAGTTAGTTCTTGGGTTCTGTTTTGGTTTTCTACAGAATCTACTAAATGTCAATCTCGTTTGTATTTACAACCTTCTTTCACGATTGAATATTTTTTTATTTCTCTTTTTGTGTTGTTTGACTAATTGTATCATCCAGTCTTTTGTTATTTCCATGTATGTTAGTAAGCCAATAGCTGTTGTCTTGTACGACAATTCTAGCCGAATAAGACCTTTTCCACCTTCTTTACGGGGTTTGTATAGATGGTCCGCATCAGCCTTTGGATGATGCATGTTATACTTAGAAAGAATCATTCTTGTCTTAGAATCTATTCGTCTGATATCATTTAGAGTTCAGTTCAAGATGTTGAAATTATATTGAATCACTGGGATAGCAAGGCTATTAATGGCCATAACTCTGTTTTCTTTTCGCACACTATTTTTCATTTATTTATGGTGAATTCCTTCACTCTCATTTACACAGACGTATTTTTTAAGCTTCTTGCTCTAAATCTTTGATTGTTATCCCAGGATCTAAGCTAATAGACGAGCTTTCTTTAGCGCATTTATCTAAACCGAATTCCATTCCAAATATCATCATTGAAACATTTTACTGTCTTCAGGAGATTTTCCAGCTCACTGTCATTCCAAGAACGCAACATGAAGTCATTCATCTTTTGAGATATCTTATAGCCATATTCTATCCTGTTAAATTCGCTGGTTAATGTTATTAGCAATAAACAAAATATTAAGGAAGGCACACTGAAATTTTCCTCTGTTGATGTTTATTTCACCAGACTTATAAACACGATTTATATGATTTAGGTGAAGTGTTGTCTTCCATACATTTTGTGTGATAAAATTGATAACGACGGGTGATACCTTGTATATATTTAAAGACTTTACGATCCAAGAATGCTGTACACTAACGAATGCCTTACTTTAATCTATCGAGGCAGAACTGAGATTTTTCTTTGTATTGAAGTAGTTTTCCAAGACCATCTTTTTAATAATTAATTTGTCTTTACATCACAAAGACCAACATTTGTACTTTTTTTTTTGTTCAAGAATCAGTATGTCATTTTTCTAAAGAGAAAAAAATGTATGTTTTGTTAGAAGAGATGTCAACAGTTTGTAAGGAGTAGGAAGGCAAGGAATTGGTCAGTATGTTTTTGGGACATTTATGTCACCATTCTTGGGTAAAAGGAAGGACATTCATTTGGTTACACATGCCAGAAGTTTAGTAGAGTCATTGACCATTTCTTGAAGTTCTTAGGCTATTTTTGTGTGCTGTAGTTTGATAAGAGACCCAAAAGTTAGGAATTTTATCTATTCTTGGAAATTTCCACTTGTGTGCTTTTTTAGTGCACATTCAATATCCTCATCTGTGATTCCTTAACATGTTTCTTCTGGTTTATTCTTCATCCATTCCACCTGTTGTGTGACCCAATCTGCTTCTTTTTAGGTTCTTTACGGCAAGACCATATTTTTCCAGAATTGTATAAAGTCTTCCATTGTTTGGTGGGCGATTTGTCACTTCAATTTTTTGTTTGCCTATTTCTCTGTAAAATTTCTTCGCAGAAGTTTGAAAAATTTTGTTCTGTCTGTAGAATTTTGACCATTTTTTTCATAGCGTCTCATTCTTCAGTTGTATTGTTTGCTTTATTCTTTCTTTACCTGATAGGACTTCATTTTCATTCTTAATTTTGTATTTTCCTTAACGTTTGGGAAAAAAACCGAAACATAGATCTATATAGATAAGGAAAAGGTAGTGATATATATTAGGGAAACAATCTCTTTATTCTGTATCTCATTCTGTTCATATCTATCTATCTATCTATCTATCTATCTATCTATCTATCTATCTCATACTGTTCATATCTATCTATCTATCTATCTATCTATCAACCGCATACTGTTCATATCTATCTATCTATCTATCTATCTATCTATCTATCTATCTATCTATCTCAGTTTGTTCATATCTATCTATCTGTTGTGAAGTGATTGTCGCTGTGGAGGCTTGTATTTGTACTAAGTCGGTCCTAAAATAGGTTCGACGTACAAAACGTTAGGAACTTGATATAATAGGAAATCTAGTTGTGGTCGCTGATACTTTAGTATCCGACTAACGGTCGTCCGGCATCGACTGACTGACCCACCCACTGAGCGACTGACTCGTTACTCTTACTACTCCTACTCATTATAGGTGGGAGAGTCTATTAACTGTAGAATAGGTGTGTTCCACTAACATCCCCCTCCTAAAACTTTACTCCGTATGAGTAAAGAGTTTTCTTTATTTATTTTTCATTTTTTACAGGAAATATGAAGAAAAAACAACAAAAAAACTTTTTTTTTTTAGCAACATCGTAGCGTATCTCCTACGTTTTATATCCACTTTTAAATGATCCGTTGCCTTTCTTTTTTCTTCTGGATCGGCGTACCTCGGGTAAAATTGTTGCAGGCGTTGTTAGATCAAACGTATCGAAAATCACCTCCATCGGCGTTTCTTCCGCGGGGCCGCTGTCACCCACGTCTGAAAAACGTCGTCTGATCTGGTTACTGCACATGAATTTCGCCTTTCACCAAGTACGTCATATAGCCAATCCGCTTTTCTATTTTTTGATACCTCCATAGTGTTACCAGAAACAACCTTCCGCTTTGAGCTTCTTAAGGATGGAGTCACAGTTTCTGTAGGTTCTTCTTGTGGTTCTATTTGTTCAGCCCCTAGCTTTACTTCTGTTGATCTTGTGCTTCTTAACGTTTTCTGTGGTGACTTCAGTTGACTTAAATCATTTAATAATACTGCATGTTCTTGGCTGCGGGTAACTTGCTCCCCAGATTTTCTCGGTGTCGGCTTCATCTTTACTTTCTGGAGCTTGTTTTTCCCATATATCGTCAGTGTTACCCATTCAACTTTTTTAAATACACCGGTTTTCTCTAATCTGTCCAATTCTTTATCTATCTGTTCAAGTGAAGCAAACAGCACATTCCTTTTCTTTTTGAAAACCGCCTGAGCGTTTTCCTTTTGCTGTAATTTTGCCTCCATCTTGGTACACGTTCCCAAACCTGGAGAAAAAACAGTAGGAAATGTTCCCTTAAGTTTCTTTACTAATTTTTGGGATTCGTAGTTTAAAAAATCTACCTTGTAACAGAAAGAATTTATTGGTAGATCCCATAATTAGAATTCTGTTATCCAATTCGTACCAAGTTCGTGGTATTTTCTATGACAAATAGTTTAGCTTTTCGCATTTATTTATTTGTTACAAATTCTCCAATAAATTTTATTTTTTCTCCCGTCACTGACCTCGCGATTTTATTTATCGTCATTAAAGTTGGTTTCCCCAACTTCTTCCACGTATGCAAATTTATGATAGATAGGTCGGAACCAGTGTCGAGTTGCATTTTTATTTTTTATTATTTCGATGGTAACAAATTTTCTGGTTATTCCATCGTTCACCTCGTCGGACTTTAATTTTCTTATTTTATTGTCTTTATTTTTTGACCTGCAGTGCGGGCTTTTATGACCCACTCTTTTAAAATTGAAACATTTTTTATTCCTAAAATTGCAATATCTGTACCAGTGAAGTTCACCGCAAGCAAAACATGGCTTTGGGAGTTTGTTTATTTTTCTCTGGTATTTCACTTTTTGTTTGATAATCCGCAATTTTAGAATTCTTTTTGGTAGACTGACTTTGTTTTCTGTAGCGTATTTTCCTTACATGCGAAACGCCAGACTGTTCTATCTTTTTCGAATCTTTCTTTACGCTAACATATCTTGTGCAGTCTTCTGCCAACTTCTGTATCGTAATCCTTGGTTCGTTTTCCAACTTTGTCAGTCCTAATTTTCTCAACGCTTTCCGATACCAGCCCTTGAACAAACACTAAGCACTTAAAATTGTCAGCGCTTAACTCTACTAGCTTGAATTCTTCACAATGCTTATTCACATTGGCTGCGTACGTTATATAGTCTTGTTCGTCATCTTTCATCAGATTCAAACATTTCCACCTCTTGTGAAACAAAGATGTCTTTTTACTAAATAATTCACTTAATATATTTACCGCCTCGGTAAAAGTCAACTCGCTATTTTTTTTCGGTAAAATGTAGTTTACCAATTTGTTATGCTCAGCAGTTCCTAACTTGCTTAAAAGAAGCCTAACCTTCTTTCCTTCAGACCACGAGTGGCAGTCCTCGTTATACACGTCAGTATATTTTTTATAATACTCCTCAAAAGTCATCTCTTCATCTGGACTGTACGTGAATATTTCAATTGAATTCCATATTGTATTCTCTGGGAAAGAATCATTTTGTAGATTTTTCTCTTTCCTCTTCTCAGTTATTTCCAGAATTTTGTTTTGAAACTCCTTATGCATCTGTTCCATTTCTTGTTGAAAGTTTCCTCCTGTAGTTGCATCTGGAATGTTTTCTGTTGCTCTAATATTATCATCTGTTGTTCTGACTGGAACTTAAAGAATTCCCGGAATATATATTTGCATTCCTCCATCTTCGCAAAAAGTTTACACAATGCTTAAATATTGTAGAGGGGGGGTCCTACGAATTTGCAATTCGTGACCTATTTGAGCAAACTGTCTTATCGAGGAAAAAAAATTCTTTTCTCATTTGAGAATACGAGTGATTTTTTCGTCACTAAGTTGACGTCTTGTCTTTCGAAAAACTTTGCCAAGTTTTTTTTATTTTTTTTTTTTTTTACGTGTGAATCCGAGATTTTGTCGCCGAAATTGTGACGAGCAAGTTTTTTCTTTTTCCTTCGTATGAGTACGAATTTCGTCACCAAAAGTTGTGGCGAGCGAATTTTTTTTTTTCCTTCCACCGTATGAATCCGAATCACTTCGCCAAATTATACTGTGGCGAACGAAAATTATTCTTCCTCCGTATGAGTTCGAATACTCGTGGCCAAATTTGTTATGGCTAGTGAAATTTCTTTTTTTTTTTCTCCGTATGAGTATGAATCCCTCGTCGCCAGATTTGTTATATGACGAACGTTTTTTTTTTTCCTCTCTTCCACCGTATGAATCCGAATACCTCGTCGCCAAATAATGTTATGGAGTGGTTCGACGTACAAAGCGTTAGGAACTTGATATAATAGGTAATGACGCAGAGAAATCTAGTGGTGGTCGCTGATACTTTACTATCCAACTAACGGTCGTCCGGCATCGACTGAGTGACAAACGATATTCAGTCACCCTCCCCCCACGAGGGCGTCATGTGGCACAAGGCCTTTTTAACGTGGGATCTCCGAGCCCGTGGGCTCGGCCAAAAATATGCCCATTTAACCGGTATAAACGGGTTCAGGGTCGGTTTACCTCCTCCAAAGAGACTCCGCCCTTCGGCGTAGCCTCGTTCGGGTTCCTCCCCGCCCGAAGGCAGAGAGTTCAACTGATCAGCCGGTCGACTGACTGACCCACTGAGCGACTCCTACTACTCCTACTTATTATAGGTGGGAAAGTCTATTGATTATAGAATAGGTGTGTTCCACTATAACACTATCTATCTATCTATCTTATCCTGCACATCACTCTCTCTCTCTCTCTCGCTCCTTCTCTCTCCGTATCTATCTATCTATCTATCTATCTCATACTGTTCATATCTATCTATCTATCTATCTATCTATCTCTTACTGTTCTGATCTATGTATCTATTTATCTATCTCAGTTTGTTCATATCTATTTGTCTCTCTCTCTATCTCACTCTGTTCATATCTATCTATCTATCTATCTATCTATCTATCTATCTATCTATCTTTGCTCTTATCTATCTATCTCACTCGATTTATATCTCTCTATCATGTACCTGTAGTGCATTCGAAAAGCATGTAGAAGCCAACTTGATGCTGCTCCATTATATTTGCCAAAAAGTCATGGCAATTCCCCGAGAAGAAACAAGAGGAAATGATTGAATCATCATCACCTCCTCCTCCTCCGCCCTCAACCTATAGGCGCTTTTTGCTTTTGACTCGTGATCTCGGTTACTTTTTGTTTCCAGCTAAAATTGGGAATATTGTTTTACAAAATAATCCAAGGATTGAAAACATCACCCCATTACTTAACCGATTTATATTCATTATACTACCGTCACAAGTGTGTGTCTTGCCACTTCAGGACGTTGGCGATCATGGATCTCCACAATTTCCTGTCATTTGTAGGTCTTAATAACTTTTGTCGTTTTGCCATCTTTCCCAATCTCTACTCCTCCATCAATTCACACAAGATCGTGAGTTTGTTTGGGCGTTGCTTTACTCCGGCCTATTACCTTGGATTTGTCCTGTGAGTGTCAAATATATATATATATATATATATATATATATATATATATATATGAACTTTATATCAATCCTTTATGGGCTTCCAATCCTTAACTATGATTAATTAATGATGAACATGTCATTTTCGTTTATGCTCGATTTCATCACGATTCTTCTGTTAAGCTTGGAGAGTAATTATACGTTCTTATTGCTCAAAGTAGATTCCAATTGAGTTATAAAAACCTCGTGGAATTCCAGTAGGATATCTTTAATCATTTCTAAGATACAATGGTTCAGAACATTATCTAACACTTGGACAATTTTCTCACCACCGTGATATGGCTTCCCACTGTCTTTTCTATAAATATTTTCATGGCAGTTGATCTGATGTGCAATCGTCCTTGTTGCTTTGACTGCATGAATTTAAACATACTTCCAGTTTGGCAACTAGGTTTTACTTTTGAATTTGATAAATGCAACCGTAAGTTCTATTCTAATAGTTTCTTCTTTTCGCAATGGAGCGCTATTCCGATTTCTTGCTTCCCTGCCATATACATTCTTAAAAAAATAAATACAATTGTCTTCATGGGCCCTCATTTTATTGTCCTTTTACCTAACGAAATTCTTCGTATTCACTTTTATTCCCAGTAAACCTCTTACATCTGAGTGGAATTATCGCCTTGCTTGGGGTGAAATTATTTAAAAAAAAAAAATTTTTGATGAATAATTGTTGGAAGCTTTTGTTAGAACATCGCCTGAGATTGGTAACATGTTTGTGCAATTTTTGGCGACGATGACATTGGCGGAGATATGCACTCTTGGACTTCTTTCGGATTATTTCCATAACTCTCGTTTATAAATTGATTATTGATTACCTACTGGAATGTTTTTCGGAGTTACCTTTAATATGAGATAAAATAGATGTAATTATTTAATTAAAGTAAGTCGCGTAATTAAATTTTAATCAGATTTCTGCTCCTAATCTCGTCTTCAGTCAGAATTTGTTATTCTTAGCCCCAAAGGCATTAAATGAAGATAAAATGGTGCATTTACTTTAAAAACAGGAAATGGAATTTTCACATTGTCATGAAAACACACAGGTGTACATATATCTCTTTATCTTTCTCACATTCTCTCTTCGTCTCCTTTCCTCCTCGGTTAGTTCTCTCTCTCTCTCTCTCTCTCTCTCACACACACACATACACACAGAGGTAAAATCTATCTATCTATCTATCTATCTATCTATCTATCTATCTATCTCAGTCTGTTTCTATCTATCTATCTATCTATCTATCTATCTATCTATCTATCTATCTCATTCTTTTCATATCTATCTATCTATCTATCTATCTATCTATCTATCTATCTCAGTTTTTCCATTATCTATCTATCTATCTATCTATCTATCTATCTATCTATCTATCTATCTCAGTCTGTTCATATCTATCTATCTATCTATGAGAATTTTTGTCTTACCGAGTTTACCGCGAGCTGTACAAGACATTTTCGTTGGATATTCTTTGGAGTAAGTGTAATTTTTGTTTGCCTCCCACCATCATCTTGTGTATCCATTGTTGTCTTTCTTTGTCGCCTTATTCGTCTGAATTGCGTACATTGTTTCAAAATGTGTTGGGGTGACGAGGGTACGCCGACATCATGTCGGAGCCCGAATCTCTTTCTGCTTCTCCTACAGAAGTAACTCCTTCGGCATGAGCAAGGGATAGGCCCCCACAAAAAGGGGCAGAATATTTCAAAAATTTAAAAGAGACATTTGATCGATATGTTAATGGAAATGAATTATTACCGGTGCCGTCTGTATTGGACACGGTGAATCCAAGGACAATCTTGTTATTAACAAAGAACCCCAAAAACCCGGAAACTAAATATCGTGACTAGGGAAGTGATGGAGGAGGCGGCCCTGAAAAGGCTTCAAATTGCAGCCCAAATTCTAGCAAGAAGAAGTCAGTCAATGTGGGACATCTTACTGCCGACAGAAGAGAAAACCAAATCACTGGCAGGCTGTATTCTAACTACTTCGACAGTCAGGCTTCAGACTGAATATATGGGGACGGGAAAGGCAAAGGTGACTCTACATAGAGTGCCACTCTACATATCTGAAGACCATATTGGGTTTTTCTTTTCTAAATATGGCGACATCTCTGACGTCTGCCCTATAAAAAGTAAGACCGGAATTGCCACAGGAGATATTGAAATTTCAATTACATTAAATCGAAAACAATTTACGGAAATACCCAACACGTTAATGCGTGAGGGTAGACGTATCTATGTCGTTGTGGAGGGTCGTCGGCCACTTTGTTTGCCTAATGTTTTATGTTTATAAAAAACTATCGATCCGCAGTACATAAAAAAAAATCCTATAAAAAAAAAAAAACTACTACTAAGACATTACACTATATTATTGAACTATATACTTAGTTCATGACATAAAAACTGAATACACTTGTAAAAATAGAATACATGGATTTAACACATCACAAGAAATATTTAAATAAAATTCTCACTTAAAATTTTGAAAAACTTAGCGTTGCGTCTTTGCACGTTCCGAGATCTTACACAACCGTCAATAATAGCAGATATTCAAAAAACATCTTTCGGTCGACATACAGGTATATCGTCTTCAAGTTTTTGATTTTATAAGGAAAAAAACATATGCCTGATGATGAATAGAAGACTATTCGTAAGTACTAGCATTTTAACATCAAATAAACTGAAAACTACAGACATCAAGTTTATCGATGAGGATCAACTATATGGATTAACAGTATTTTAATAGCGATGGATGTCGCCAATAAATTAATACTTATGATTGATTCTATGATTATTTTTCGTATATATATATATATATATATATATATATATAGATAGATAGATAGATAGATACATACATATATATATATATATATATATATATATATATATATATATATATATATATATATATATATATTTCCAGGAGGATAGAATCCAGGTAGAACTCAATGTCCAGGACAGAGTAAGAATACAATATAAAAGCTTTTTGAATTTGTAGATCTGATAAATTGGATCATGATTACGATTCCAATGTAATAAATTATAACCAGGGAATATTAGTGTTTGAGCCTTTATATATATATATATATATATATATATATATATATATATATATATATATATATATATATATATATATATGTAATACGTTAGTTATAAACTACTAAGCAAAACCCAAGAAATACGTCAAATAATAACATAAAAATAATATACAACATAAAATAAAATAAAAAAAAATAATTACTACAATTTCTGGAATAATTAACCATAAAAAAGTAATCAAAAATCAATAAAACTGTAATCGATTTAGGTACAGAAATATAATTCATGACGAAAAGATTAAAGACGACTCTATAACACAAAATGACACTTGACATATGGATGTTGGTTTCAGTACTTCTCCCACCCTCTCTCTCTTTCTTTCTCTCTCTCTTCTACTTCCTCCCCCCTCTCTCTCACTCTCTCTATCAGTCTATATCTGTCCATGTATATTTCAATCGCACGTATATTTTTAAAAAAAATGAAGATATAATTTCTCCAAGTGTTTGCCACCTCTGAGAACATAATGGCCTATAAAATCAAAGAAAGAAAGAATTGCGTGTGGATAAAAGGAAGACAGATTTATTGGAGAAGAAAAAAAGAAAGAAAGAAAGAAAGAAAGAAAGAAAGAAAGAAAGAATTGCCTGGGGATAAAAGAAAGAAAGAAAGAAAGAAAGAAAGAAAGAAAGAAAGAAAGAAAGAAAGAAAGAAAGAATTGCGTGTGGATAAAAGAAAGACAGATTTATTGGAGAAGAAAGAAAGAAAGAAAGAAACAAAGAAACAAAGAAAGAATTTCCTGGGGATAAAAGAAAGAAAGAAAGAAAGAAAGTAAGAAAGTAAGAAAGAATTGCCTGGGGATAAAAGAAAAAAAGACAGGATTGCTTGGAGAAGAAAGAAAGAAAGAAAGAAAGAAAGAAAGAAAGAAAGAAAGAAAGAAACAAAGAATAGCCTGGGGATAAAAGAAAGAAAGAAAGAAAGAAAGAAAGAAAGAAAAGACAGAATTGTTTCGGGATAAAAGGAAGTAAAGAAAGGAAGGATTTGCCTGGAGATATCATTGAACCCAGCACTCATCTTGCGTTAGGAAACCTTCAAGGAAATAGGCTGGATCTACCTCAAATAATCTCAGATTTTCTCGTGATTTAATCAGCCTGTGAGGTTTTGATCAGGTGTCAGAAGACATGCCAACCAACCAGCGAGTAGAAACCTTCGTCACGCCAAGTTCATTGTGTAGAATATTTTTAACTGTATCACGGAATATGCTAATAACATTGGTAAATTGATTTATAGTCTATCCCCTGTCATCCATCATCATGTGGGGTACGTGACCAATCTTTTCCTCATGGGGAGATTAAGTTCAAATGAAGGTCAAATGAAATGGGGGATGATGGTCAAGTGGCGTGGGTGGGATGATGGTCAAATAATTTTGGTCAGATGAAGGTGGTGAGGGAGGTGAAGATCAAATGGCATTGCCCTTCAACATGCGATTGGGATATGAAGGTCAAATGGTGCGGAGGAGAGGAAGGTCAAATGGTGTTGGGGTCAAGGTCAAATGGCGTAAAGTGATGAAGATTAAATGGCGCGCGGAGATGAAAGTCTATTAACGTTGGGAAGATGAAGGTTAAATGAATATTAATCCACAAGAGATATTTCAAAAAGGTTTTTGTTCCATGTTTTTTTTCTTTTTCCGAACGGACCACTTAATTTAAGTCGTTCTCTTTTCTGTTTTAATCAATCAATTCGATATTTGAAGAATATCTAATTGGACTGCCCCAATTGTAAGCGTAACATTATTAAAACAATTTATGGAATTGTTGCCTGACTGCACTGGCCCGTTTTGAGAAAATATGAAAATTGCAATTTACTGGAAGTAAATAACTAGAAAGACGCTAACAGCGATTGCTTATGGGAGCCGCCATTTTGAATTTGATTGGATAATCTGTATCACAGACGAATTTAAACGACACCAGCGATACAAAATATGTATAATAAAAATATTTACACGATATTTGATGTCCTCAGTGTATTGTATGCTACTATATGTCTATACTGGCTTGTAAATAAAACTAAACGCTATTTAGTTTATAACTCAAATGCTGGTCCTCAACATGCCATGGCATCAGGAAAACGTATAAATATATCGACAACAGGCAAAGTATGCATCATAAAGATGTATAAGTGTACTAATTTTGACAGTTTAAAATAAATGCATGTAGATACGACAGCTGAGGAGTATGAAAAGTGATCTTTATAAATGAATTTCATGAAAACTCAATGCTTCTAATAAACATCTAGAATACTCTCTAGTGACTAATACAAGTGGGAATCTTAAACCCTTCGCCGGCGTAGACGTCTATATACGTTTTTACCGAAAGTGTCTTTTTCAGGCACGGACGAATAAACTTTATTCTTTTTATGCCCTTTTGGGTTAGAAACGAGTCCAATTATCAACTCATACGTCTGGTAGAGTTGCTAACCTCCCCCCCCCGTCCGGTATTTCAAGTTGCCTTAGTTTGTATGTTACTAAACTAAAAACAAATACAAAATTCGTCTGAAAATGAAATGCTTTTCCCAAAATAATTGGCGGGAAAAGGGTTAATAAAATCAGGAACAGAACTTTATTCAAAGAGTCAAAAAATTAAAAAAATTAAGTAAAGAAAAAAGAAAAGAAACAAAAAAAGTATACACCCCCTCCCCACACGAACATAAATATAATAAAAAAGACGTCACAAAATTAATTGTACTGTATACTATTATATGTCCATGCTTGTTTGAGAATAGCACTAAGCGCTAGTTAGTTTTATAACACAGACACAAACCATATATATATATATATATATATATATATATATATATATATATATATATATATATATATATATATATATATATATATATATGGTTGTTGATATATATATTTGGTTGGATTGATGTGAGTTTGTGACCCTGGGTTTCACGCTTTTTTTACGATCGCAAATAGCGTGAAACCCTGGGTCACAAACTCACATCAATCCAACCAAATATGTTAGATCTATCTCTGATATTGAGCGCTTTCTAAGTACCATGCATATAATATATAAAAATTATATATATATATATATATATATATATATATATATATATATATTATATACATACAATTTTCACACACACACACACACACACACACACACACACACACACACACACATATATATATATGTATATATAGACAATGTAGGTTTCGTAAAAAAGTATAAGTACGTCTACAACAGCGGAAATTGTAATCAAACCCCAGTTTAACATCAAGAACTAATTTTCGTTAGTAGCAGACTTGACCTATTTTAAAGAATAGCAATTGATTTTAAAACAAGAATCCCTAAAAATATTGATCTCGCGTTGGTATAAAATTTTTAAATTTCAATTTTCTATTTCTTTAATCGTTGACGTTTTCGAAATGCTGCAGTGAGCGAGAAAATTCAAGATGGACGTTAAAAATGCATTGCGTCAAACGCAAGAGGATACACTGCCTCGTTTTGATTTGTTGTTTTTGTCTAAAGGGAGTGGATGTGAAATTAGCCATCTTTCGGGAAACTTGAAACTAATTTTTAATTCACGCTTCACCATTTATTA